TGTGCTTCCAACATAATCTATAAGTAATAACTTCAAAAATCTTAAGGGTTTATCTGCATCAACATTTTTATTAGCAAACATTTACTGTCATACGTCCAACTATCACACACACATTGGGTGAAACAAATTGAGACATTTAAAAGCTGTGCTGTGCACATAAACACAATGTAATCCTAACCTAGGGGTCCCCAACTTTTGAGTTTAAAATCATTTTCCCCTTAATGAAGCTAATAAAAATGTGTTTAGAGATGCAAATAGTAGATGATCATGGCAAAATTAAAACTTAGAATTTCTTAAAATATCAAATTCTTTAAGATTGACCATTTAATTTAATTTTAGCTTAAATTAATTAACATTCATTAAATGTGATTATAGTGGCATTTAAAATGCATTATTTGAAAAAAAAAAAAAAAGACGTTTATGAAAACATAAAGATATCTGCGTGTTTGCGCAGAAGTGCTTCCGGTTGATCATAAAGCCGTATGTTTTGAAAAGAAGCTCGAGGTGGAGAAAAAGCTAGAGAATGGGAAAATGCTAATTTCAACAAAAGTGGCTGAAAAACGAGGAATTTGGGACATGGCTGCAGCGTGTTGACGGTAGAAAAAAAAAAAAAAAAAAAAAAAAAAAAAAAAAAAAAAAATATATATATATATATATATATATATATATATATATATATATATATATATATATATATATATATATATATATATATATATATATATATATATTATTTTTAAGAGCATTGAAAGAGCATTAAATTAGAGTTACTTATTCCTGTATAAACCCTGTATAAGGTAAAGAGTTTTAAAAAGCCCCTAGATCAGATGGATTAATGATGGGAGGAGCACAGCACATTTTGTTTGTTAAAAATACCATTCAGTCACATTCTGACAAATAAACATGTGATCATTCTTCAATAATCATGTTTTACTTCTGTTCTTATCTGTCCAAATTTCTTTAGATTTTTCTGGAGGTACATAGAACAAACAGCCTTATAGGTGGCAGCCATTCAAATAGGCCCTTCCCAGGGAAATGCCATCCGAATGGCAGCCCCTACCACTAGAGTGACCCCCTCCTTCCCCTGGGCAGCCATATTTTTTCACTCTGACTCCACCCTTTCACTGAACCACAGGGTGTGAACAGGAGATGATGCTTCTGTTTAGATCTTAATGTCCACAAATCACGACAGAAGGAATATTTTTGTACAAATATTGATTTATCAAAAAGGAGGGGACAAGCAAAGGGCCCATCAAGGAAAGTGGGGAAATTTTGAATGACTGCTACTATAGGATAACAGGACTGGGGGGTATGATGTATGTCGAAATTTATTAGTCCAGCCCTGATTCAATCCCATGACATTCAAATTAATCCAAAAGATCTGTTTAATCTCTGGTTTTATTTGAACCCAATTCTAAAATGTTACATGTCTAGTATATATTTTTTTCTTTTTCTCTTGTTTGTTTAAAGAATTAAAGTCAATTCTAACTCGACTTACTGTTATCATTCATCCAACCCTGTTATAATCAACTTTTTTACTGGCTACAACATTTTGCTTTTTGTTTAAAACAACACATATTAGATTAACGATGCTGAAGACTTGTAAAAAAAAACATTAAAATCATTATCCAATATTAACCTTAAAGAGTATTTTCATTAAGTACATTAAGTCACCACCTTCTACTTGACACTGAATACATTATAACTTCAAGTAATGAGGTGAAATAAACTTACGATATTTTACACAAGCAACAGGAAATAAAAAGGCAGCTGGAAGAATATGTTTGAGTATCTTCAAGAGCTATAAAGGAATTAATTTCTCTCACTACAGGATTAAATCTAAATAACAGAGAGCTTAATGTTTGAGTTTTTTCATGCTCAAGTTGGGACAACATGTAGATTAAGTGCTAAAAAACACAATATTTTTTGGCATACCTTCTGGGAACCCAAACCGTGCTGAATCTTGAAAACAACCCCTAAAAAAGCACTGAAGATATCTAAAGAGAAATCTCCTCACCTCTGTGCAGCCGCAGCTGTTTGGTAGGTCCATCAGTGGCTTTCCTTGAGTGATACAACTTATTCAGGTCAGGGCAGGAAACACCATTTTGCAGTGGAAACTTCTGTGTTTACACCTTGAAGCTTTCTCTCTCCAGTTGTTTTCCTTAGAAGAGATCACTCTGAACAAACTCTTTAAATAACACTTCATTATGTTTATGTCTTAACAATAAGACAGGATGACATATTTTGACAGAAACTGTCATCTTAATTAATCTGGAGAAGTTTCTCAGGGTTACAGAAGGCAGCGCTTACCAACCGGGCTCACATTTTTTTTGAGTGACAGAGGATCTGTCCTGATTACAGGTGCTGGTCATAAAATTAGAATATCATGAAAAAGTAGATTGATTTCAGTAATTCCATTTAAAAAGTGAAACTTGTATATTATATTCATACATTACATACAAACTCATATATTTCAGATGTTTATTTTGTTTAATTTTGATGATTACAAATGACAACAAATGAAAATCTCAAATTCATCATATCAGAAAATTAGAATATTACTGAAGACCAATAAAAACAAAGGATTTATAGAAATGTTGGCCAACTGAAAAGTATGAACATGAAAAGTATGAGCATGTACAGCACTCAGTATTTAGTTGGGCCTCCTTTGGCCTGTATTACTGCAGCAATGCGGCGTGGCATGGAGTCGATCAGTCTGTGGCACTGCTCAGGTGTTATGATAGCCCAGGTTGCTCTAATAGTGGCTTTTAGCTCTTCTGAATTGTTGGGTCTGGTGTATTGCATCTTCTTCTTCACAATACCCCATAGATTTTCTATGGGGTTAAGGTCAGGAGAGTTTGCTGGCCAATTAAGAACAGGGATACCATGGTCCTTCAACCAGGTACTGGTAGCTTTGGCACTGTGTGCAGGTGCCAAGTCCTGTTGGAAAATGAAATCTGCATCTCCAAAAAGTTGGTCAGCTGCAGGAAGCATGAAGTGCTCTAAAACTTCCTGGTATGTGGCTGCGTTGACCCTGGACCTCAGAAAACACAATGGACCAACACCAGCAGATGACATGGTACCCCAAACCATCACTGACTGTGGAAACTTTACACTGGACTTCAAGCAACGTGGATGAAGTGCCTCTCTTCTTTTCCTCCAGACTCTGGGACCTTGATTTCCAAAGGAAATGCAAAATTTACTTTCATCAGAGAACATGACTTTGGACCACTCACCAGCAGTCCAGTCCTGTTTCTCTTTAGCCCAGGCAAGACGCTTCTGACGCTGTCTGTGGTTCAAGAGTGGCTTGACACAAGGAATGCGACAGCAGAAACCCATGTCTTTCATACGTCTGTGTGTGGTGGTTCTTGAAGCACTCACTCCAGCTGCAGTCCACTCTTTGTGAATCTCCCCCACATTTTTGAATGGGTTTTGTTTCACAATCCTCTCCAGGGTGCGGTTATCTCTCTTGCTTGTACACTTTTTTCGACCACATCTTTTCCTTCCCTTCGCCTCTCTATTAATGTGCTTGGACACTGAGCTCTGTGAACAGCCAGCCTCTTTAGCGATGACCTTTTGTGTCTTGCCCTCCTTGTGCAAGGTGTCGATGGTCGTCTTTTGGACAACTGTCAAGTCAGCAGTCTTCCCCATGATTGTGTAGCCTATAGAACTAGACTGAAAGACCATTTAAAGGCTTTTGCAGGTGGTTTGAGTTAATTAGCTGATTAGAGTGTGGCACCAGGGGCCATCAATTTTGAACCTTTTCACAATATTCTAATTTTCTGATATGATGAATTTGAGATTTTCATTTGTTGTCATTTGTAATCATCAAAATTAAACAAAATAAACATCTGAAATATATGAGTTTGTATGTAATGTATGAATATAATATACAAGTTTCACTTTTTAAATGGAATTACTGAAATCAATCTACTTTTTCATGATATTCTAATTTTATGACCAGCACCTGTAAATAAACTATTTGGAAAAAAAAAAATTGTTGTGACATGCAACAGACAGGCATTATTAGGGTTTAACAGACTCAAACATCATGAATCAGAATAACCCTAACAACATGTACATACACATTTTTGTCACATAATAAAGCACAATAAAGTTCCCATTTTATTCTAAATAAGAGCATTTTTACAGATTTTGAAATATTTGAGTGTTTAGTCCAACCCTTTCTTCTCTAATTCATTTAGTCATGCATTTTTCCCCACTGCGTTCATCCTTTGTGCAGCAAAGCACTCCCTAGATTTAACCACAAGCACTTGCTGAGTCGTCCATCCCGATCTCGCTGAACAAAAGTATACTGGTAGAAGAAGAGTACTGTGCTTTCAATGACAGTGCCATCAGTTGCATTGGAGCTTCTGTTGACAAACATTGTTGGGTGGAGGTGATGCAGAAAAATAAAGTTTTCAAATTAACAGCTTTTGCTACTGTCCAGCTTCCCTCCAGGAGGAATGTAATAAAACTTCGAAGGCTGTTATCTCCTTTAAGTACCCTACTGCAGAGAGTGCCAACAATGGAATAGTCCTATCTTCCTCAATATGTTTTTTATACTTACATAAATTTGACATTGAAAACCTCACGCTGCATCCTTTAGGGATCTATAAATTACTGCTTTGGCCTGATCTTTTCAAATTTCTCTGCTATGGGATTTTTGCCTCTTTTAGAAAACTAAAACTAAAATTAGATGAATTCATCTTCAGCATGTTTTTTTTTTTGTTTCAACATTAAGCATTACACCTTTTGCTTTAAAAAAAAAAAACGATAAAATGTAAAGGCGTTCTATTTAAAACATAGAAATAATTACCCTTTTTAGGAGATAATTTTACAAATGAGTATTTCTGAATTACCGGTATGCTTCTCAAGATTTTCAAAAACAGCTACATTGTTAAAAAAGTAATATTGTATCCTTATGGAAAGGGCTAATAAAACTTTTATTTTATTAACTATATTTAATGTATGTTAAGTTGTTTCTTTTTCTTTGGCAGCCATGGATGCACCTGTGAACCTGACAGCCAGTGAAGTGAACCACCGCAGCGCTCTTATTTCCTGGCAGCCTCCAGTAGCAGAAATTGATAACTACATGCTGACTTACAAAACTCCTGATGGCAACCGTAAAGTAAGTTATGTCCTCCGGTTTCACTTAAAGTTTAACAAACATAAAATAATAATATATCTAAAAATATCTAAGGTCAAAATTACTGTCAAAGTTCAGTATTTGTAATACATAGTAGAATAAATCTAAAGATTAATGCATTTTTTAAAATAGAAAGTAAAGAAAAAAGTAAATGGCATCCAAGAACTGGGTTTATTCTGATTATTTCTACACATTGAAAAATTTGAGGTAAAAAATCCGATAGGCAGCTCTTCAATTATAGACTAGACAAATATATTTATTTTTCACTCAAACTGGATGTGGGCTCTTCACTGACATTGACAGATTGTTTTTCACACCAAAGGGAGCCACATGAGAAAATGGCTTTCGGGTAGTAGTATCACTCTAATATGCCTCAGTAGAGATATTGTTAAATTTGATTAAGGGATTTGATGTGACTGAGTGATTGTAATGAAGTCCATTACTAAGAGCTTTTTGCTTTAATAAACACAGAGATCTGATGTAGCAACGATCCACATTTTTTCTACCTCTTTTTAAAACATCCCTTAACCATGTCACTTTATACTGTAAGAGTGGACTTGATTGGGGATTATAAGACAAAAAAGTGTTCCCCTATCCTCTTTTTTCATCTTGCAAATGCACACTGAAATGACTGTTGTGTGAATAAATAAATATCCTCTAGCCCAGTGGAAAAAAAAACCTCTTTCTTTCTCTCTTTCTCTCTCTCAATAGCACACTGTCATATCTTCCTCAATATTTTTTTTTTTTTATATATATACTTCCACAAATTTGACATTGGAAAGCTTACGTTGCACCCTTTTGGGATCTATAAATTACTGCTTTGGCTTGATCTCTTCAAATAATATATATATATATATATATATATATATATATATATATATATATATATATATATATATATATATATATATATATATATATATATCAATAGAGGCCTCTATCAATAGAGGCCAGGGTCTACCACACCAGGCAGGACCCCCGATGCAGACTGTGCAAAGATGCCTCTGAAACAATACAGCACATAACAGCAGGGTCTAAAATGCAGGCAGGAAGTGCATACATGGAACGCCACAACCAGGTAGCTGTCATAGTGTACAGGAACATCTGCCATGAGTATGGGCTGGAAGTCCCAAGGTCAAAATGGAAGACACCTCCTAAGGTAGTTGAGAATGACCGAGCTAAGATCCTATGGGACTTCAAGATCCAGACTGACAAACAGGTGATGGCTAACCAACCAGAGATCGTGTTGATGGACAAGCAGCAGAAGAAGGCAGTAGTGATAGATGTGGCAATCCCAAGCGACAGCAACATCAAGAAGAAAGAACACGAGAAGCTTGAGAAATACCAAGGACTGAAGGAGGAGCTAGAAAAGATGTGGAAAGTGAGAGCAGCAGTGGTGCCAGTGGTAATTGGAGCACTGGGGGCTGTGACCCCCAAACTGGGAGAGTGTCTACAGCAGATTCCAGGTAAAACATCAGAGGTCTCTGTCCAGAAGAGCGCAGTCCTAGGAACAGCTAAGATACTGCGCAGAACCCTCAAACTCCCAGGCCTCTGGTAGAGGACCCGAGCTTGAGGATGACACATACCACCCCACGAGGGGTGAGAAAACAGTTTTATATATGTATATTTATATATGCTCCAGGAGTATGGAGTCGGGGGCCCTTTATTAGGGGCCATCCGTTCTCTGTACAAGCGGAGCAGGAGTCTGGTTCGCATTGCCGGCACTAAGTCGGACCTGTTCCCAGTGCATGTTGGACTCCGACAGGGCTGCCCTCTGTCACCGGTCCTGTTCATAACTTTTATGGACAGGATTTCTAGGCGTAGACCAGGGGAGGGGGTCTGGTTTGGGGAACAGCGGATCTTGTCCCTGCTTTTTGCGGATGACGTCGTACTGCTGGCTCCCTCCTGCCAAGACCTACAGCGTTCGCTGGGGCGGTTCGCAGCCGAGTGTGAAGCGGTTGGGATGAGAATCAGCTCCTCCAAGTCCGAGGCCATGGCCCTCGACCGGAAAAAGGTGGCTTGTCCCCTTCAGGTTGGAGGAGAGTCCCTGCCTCAAGTGGAGGAGTTCAAGTATCTTGGGGTCCTGTTCACGAGTGAGGGAAGAATGGAGCGGGAGATCGATAGACGGATCGGTGCGGCTGCTGCTACAATGCGGACGCTGCACCGGTCTGTCGTGGTGAAGAGAGAGCTGAGCGAAAAGGCAAAGCTCTCAATTTACCGGTCGGTCTACGTTCCTACCCTCACCTATGGTCATGAAATTTGGATCATGACCGAAAGAACGAGATCCCGGATACAAGCGGCTGAAATGAGCTTTCCCCGCAGGGTGGCTGGGCTCTCCCTTAGAGATAGGGTGAGGAGCTCGGTCATTCGGGAGAGGCTCAGTGTAGAGCCGGTTCTCCTCCACATCGAGAGGAGTCAGTTGAGGTGGCTCGGACATCTTCTTCGGATGCCCCCTGGACGCCTCCCTCGGGAGGTGTTCCAGGCACGTCCCACCGGGAGGAGGCCCAGGGGACGACCCAAGACACGCTGGAGAGACTATGTCTCTCGGCTGGCCTGGGAACGCCTAGGGCTTCCCCCAACAGAGCTGGAGGAGGTGTCAGTGGAGAGGGAAGTCTGGGAGTATCTGCTTAGTCTGCTGCCCCCGCAATCTGGTTCCAGATAAAGCGGGAGACGACGAGTACGAGTATATATATATATATATATATATATATATATATATATATATATATATATATATATATATATATATATATATATATATATATATATATATATATATATGCGCTGTATATAGTGCGAAACTGAGATTATTATGGTGTTTGCAAAGATCTGTGCTACACATATACCTAGTAGGTACGAATGACAAAAAGTGCACACCATTAAACAGAGTTTGACTTCAGATGGAACCATATAAATTAAACTTCAGTCTCCAGGCCTACAACATAGAAAACCAGCAGAGAAACAAAGATAAAGAGAACACAATATATCACCACAACTCTGAACAATCAAGAGGATTGTTTAAAAAAAATAGCCAAAGTTCCCTCTTTGTATCCCCTTACATTTTGAAACAATATAGCAGACTGCAGTAAATGCCAAACTTCTGCGAAAAAGAGGTTGTATAGTATCACCAGAGGTGATTCTGACATCAATGTATATCTAAAAAACACTGTTTCACAGCATAATTCTTTCCCCACATGAATAAATTTACTTAAATTAAATGTTGTACTTCTTTTTCTGTTAAAATGAAATTCATTTTAAGACTTTTTTATACTTCTACACCAGGAGAGCTGATAAATATAGAGGTGTGTATGTGGTTTCTAAGGAGTCAGTGTGTGCTGTAATTTCTTTATAGTCAAGTGAGCCTGAGCTCACTGAGCGCACAGATTCCCATCCTCAGAGACTGAGGTAAAATAAGAATTTCTTCTATTTTCTCCACAATTTCCTTCTATTTATGCATGCCAATTATAATGTGCTTTCTGTAGTGTTTAGTTTGTTTGTCAGAAACCAACCAACTGAAGAAGAAATGAAATACAGTTATCTGGAAAATCCACCTTGTATGAAATTCTGTTTTATAATATATTTCTTCTGTAATCTCTGTTTATTGCTAAAACAGGTTCCACCTTTCAGCACATTCTCTCATGCTTAGATAACAGCATTTTCTAATTTACACAACTAAATTGCAATATTAACTGATATTTACAGATTTTCTTTATATGTTTATGTATAACAGTTTGTTACATATAATAATATCTAAGACAAGAACAATTACACATCCAGCCACATTCTACCACTCAACCGCACATACACAATTGATATGAAAGTGTACAGAGGTACACATTAGCCTTGATAAGACAGGGCTCTTCAAATGCAATAAATATCTTGACCCTGAAAACCCTCCGATGGATGAATGTCAGCTCCTCAGAGACAGAGAGACACCATTTAACCGGCTGTTTCAATGCATAATTCACATTAACACATTGCATTGGAACATGTGACTTGCTTTTCCAATCCGACTAAATGTTTCATTATCCTCTTTTATATTTAATGTTCATCCAGGCAACGTTGTTGTACACTCACTAAAACATACTAATACTGACATAAACAACTTTTTATTCCTCTAAAGGGCCTCGCTATTTATTTCACAAAGTTTACTCCTCTAACTTCTTTTAAACTCCTAGTTCTATGAAAACTGCTTCATTGTAGTCCTTTGACTTCGCCACTAAAATTATATATTATTTGAGTCTTGGAAACCTTCATCTTTCTTCATATGCAATATATGGCAGCTTTTCTTTGCGGTTTTTTCCCTTTGACCTTTTCTTTTTCTCAACACATTCAACTTTGTGAAAGTGTAGATCTATCTGATTTCCTCTGACACATTTCTTATGCTATCTTTAATTTTTATTCCAAGAATTGCTTAATAGTCTTTTGAAATTTGCCAATCTGGGTTTAGTGTTTTATCTTTTTCAAAGCTTAAAAACAATGTGTTCTCTCCTAAGGTTTTTAGTTGGTAACACTCTTGTGATTAAGGTTGTAAGAAAATATAAACTTCTGTTTGTTAATAATTTTGGTCCTTTGTGTGCACTAGGAGCTGATTCTTGATGCAGAGGACACATGGATTCGACTGGAGGGATTGGCGGAGAGCACAGAGTACACAGTTAAGCTCCAAGCTGCTAGAGGCCTTGATACCAGTGCAGTGGTCTCCACCACCTTTACTACAGGTACAGGATTTACTTCATTATGTCTGCTTTCTTTGTACCTGTGTAGGGGAAGTAAAAGATATTCTTAACTAAATGTATTTGAAGTAAGAGAGCAGAGGTACCCGATAATCAGTCCTCAAAAAAAGAAACAGATTTTCATCTTCTGATCATTACCTTTACAATGCTGCTTGTAGAGTGGGTGTATAGAGCTGAAATTGCAAAGAATTATTCTGACTGGGCAAAAGTGAATATCATTTTCGACTGCTTATAGGCCTTTCACAAATGTGCAATGTATACAGCCATGGTAAATAAGTATTACATTACAAGCCTATAATTTTGAAAATGGCCATAGTGAATTCAATCCAGTTTGATGCAGTTATATAGCGGCAGTTCACAACACATCATCTCAAGGCACTTTACAGAGACAATTCAACCATGCCATACAGTCAGATTGATAATGAGTTTTTCTTATAAGGAAAACCAGCTGAATGCATTGGGTCATTAACTTGTAGGACACACTACTGCTGGATGAACATGTGGGACAATAGATACTGGCTGATTTTGCATCAATGACTCCACAGTAGTTCCTCCCACTGAGCAAGCATGCAGTGACATTGAAGAGGAAAAACTCCCTTTAACAAAAAGAAACTTCAAGAAGAACCAAGGTTAAGTGTGTTTAGCGTTTTGCTGAGGCATAGTCAGGGTTCAAAGAGAGAGAAGCAGACATACTAGAGGAACATAGAAACACTAATCCATAAATTATTACTATGTTAGAATATGTAACGGTAAACTAGCTCTACAATTGCCTCTGTCTAGGAAAGAAACAGTTATGCAGACAAGGTCTGAGTCAGTTTTAATGCCAAAGGGCAGTTGGTCACAGGGAAAGCTCAGCCCAAATAGCTAATATTTCTCTCCAGCAGTAGCAATTTTTCATTGAATACTATGGGTGCTAAACCTCACCTGTAAATTTCATAAAATCATTGGTGAAATATGCATTGTCAAACTTCATAAATGTAGCCATTATACTAGATTAAATATGCACTAAAATACACCTGATTTCATGACAAATCCCTGTTGAGGTTTGAGCCTAAGGCTATTGAGATAAGCAGCGAGAAAGTAGAGCCCTGATTGGATAAAATACGTCACTTCCAGTTAGGGTAAATATGTAAGGGGTCTATACAGCAGGGGATGGTCATGAAGCTGCCTGCTTGATGCTAATTGGCAAAAGGACTTTTGACTGACAGCAGCCAGACAGTGAGGAGGTTTTCCTAATGTAATGTGTCTTATGTGTTTTAACATTTATTTATGTAATAAGTGACATTATCACCTAAGAGATTTTTTAAGCCCAGCTTTAAAAATAGACAGGGTGTCTACCTCGTGAATGAAAGGGGTAGCAGGTTCCACAGGAGAGGAACCTGTTACCTATTCTACTTTTAGAAATTCTAGGAGCAATAAGTAACCTGTAGGTTAAGAGTAAGGTTAGGAACATCAGAAATAATCAGATTTCTTACTTGGTTGGAACGGAATCTAATTTCCAAATTGAAGGCTTTGTTGAAGCTAATAATTATGCAGTGAAAGCTTAACTGGATCAAAACAGTCCAGAAACAGTTCAGGTTCTATTGTTACCTCAGATGCTGCTTCACCTTTTAAAGATGAAACAATTATACTTAGAGAGGTGCCGATAATCTTATTTTTAACAGAATAAATCCATTTATAAAATAATCCATAAATCATTACTGCTAAGAGCAAGAAGAGGTTCTGGTTAACAGACTTATGGCATTGTGCGAGGTTGGCAGCTGTGTTAAAATGAATCATGGATTATTTTTATTGTACTTTATCAATAAAGAATAATTTTCTGCTTTTGTTTTGCAAAGTATTCCTTATTATTATTATTCCATTTTTTTATTGAATTGATGTAAACAAATTGGAAGAAAAAAAAAACCTACAACAGTTGCTTTACGAAGATATTTAATTTTACATTTCATTCTTGGGATGTTAAGACAAGTTTGGATTTTAAAAAGCAATAAAACAAAAAAATATCCTTGTGTAGAGGTGCTCACACTGTACCTCCATTGATGACTGTATTATAAAGTACCATTATTTAAAAGTAGATTTCCCGTCCTATGACCATTGGAAGCAATAAAAGTGTACTTTTGTTGTCACCTTTAATGTATTTAGTTTATTGAGGAAAAAAACACTCAGCATTGAAAAAAATGGAATAGTTCAATTTTAATTTTTCTTTTTTTTTTTTTTGGTGAAGAAAATATAGCCTCTATTTTGCTCTGTCTTTTGGAGGGATAAATTGTAGGCCTGAAATGTGCGTCACATATTTATGATTGGAGCGATTCGACTTTTTAAAATTTCATTATTAGCGACAAGTTTACCCCAAATGTTTATTTTAACATAAACCATTACTTTCAGGCCCAGTAGATATGTTTCAAATTGTGAAAAGCTTTCCATGTAGGAAGAAAGCTAAAAACACACAAATAACAGATATATTTGTAACCAGTGTTGCGCCAATGCCATTTTTTGGCCCCCGATACCCGATACCTGGCTGTGCAGTATTGGCCGATACAGATACCATCTGTTTGAAATTGATGTGTGTGTGTGTATATATGAAGAACTGCATACTACTTGGATGAAAAATAATTGCCATCATGTCTTTGTCCAGCTGCTGCCTACCTTTGTGAAGCAGGAAAAAGACTAATACAAAGTGAATCCAGTAGAACTTTTTATTGCCTACCTGGAATGGGTGATAATAGTTGAATAAACTTTTTGCTCTCAAAATGGTATCGATGCCCTATTTCTTGGTACTCGCCGATATCGATACCATCATTTTAGTGCTGGATTGGGGCCCCGCCCGATACTGGTATCGGTGCAAAACTATTTGTAAAAACTACTGAACTGAATTCACTAACTTTTTTTGTTCCCTTCTCAATCGCTCTACTTTCATTGTCGGCGTACCACCAAACATTATGCAGAGATTTGGTTCTACTGGTGCTGTTGTTGAATTGGGAGATGCTGTGGAGGCATTGCAGAGACAAGGGTGGAACAGAATGCAGAAATACCTGCTTTGAGTTTCATGCTTCGCATATGTGTCTCCACTGCCTTGATTCCCATGGTGCTTCATCTACATTCCCTGGCAGTGGTTTTAGCCATGCAGTAGTGATGGATCCACTAACCCCCATGTGTCGGTGCATGCGTGGAGCCCATAGAGCAAAACACTGTAATGGTGCGCGTGTTGTTGCAAGAAAGTCATGTGACCGATACAGGAGCTGTTTCTAACTGACTGACTCACCAAACTTGGTTTAAAAACGTATCTGTCAACATGATGCATTTGCTAAAAAAAACGTCTCATCTTTTGCGGTTTATCATTAAAATGATCAAGAATTTTGGAGGAGCCTAAAAGGAATAGGAACGTTTCAGCTTATACGTTTTTCTTTTAATTTTCTCGCTGTATCATACTTTTCTTCTCCGTTATCACTCAACTTATCTGAATTATAGTTCATTTCAAATTGACTCTTAGTTTATTTACTGTTTTTACCGTACTTATTGTTTTAAAATTAGGATTTAAAATCCTAGTCTACAAGCATTTACAATATTTATTGGCTGCATCTAAAAATATCAAGGATATTTTTAATTTAAATATAGATATGAAATAATACAATATAACCTACAATAACTTTAATTATATCATTCTACTAGGTCATCCAATCAATTCGTCGATCAAATAAGCTGCCTGTAGTGTCTTTAAATGTCCAGCAGATGTCACTGTTCTGTGAGACAGTATCAACACAGCATCAATACAGTTTGGCAATATGTGAAATGCTTCAAGATTACCCCATTAACCCATCACTACCATGCAAAAAACTGTTGGATGGATAGCCTATTTTTCGTAGAGTTTAAAGGTGAACGCCTTTTTTTTTTTTTTTTTTTTACATTGGTCGATTGGTTTTAAGGTTATTACATCGTGTTCTACTCACCCATATGAGTTTTGTGTCATTTGGAGCTGTTCTTAAGATATTCCGTTACTGTAGGTTATATCCAAGTAACGTCTTCCTTTGGGCAAATGAGTTCAAGGCACAAACTAAACTGTTCATAATTTATTTGTTATGGTACGCCAGCATTCATAACATGTAGGCGAATCACTGTCTCCCTTGGTGTTAGTGGCACATCATCCATAGTTCTGGCCACAACATCGCTTTTTTTGGTTTCGCTATCGGGACGGAACCAATAATGGTTACAGCGAGGGGTTCGGTAAATGTATGAAAAATATTGTCAATTATTTTAATGTTTGACATGGATCACAAAAATAAAATCCTATTTATGATGTGCAAACAATTGTAAGACCTAAGAAAGACTGATTTAAGACATTTTAATAGCAATTAAGGCCTTGAATTTATATTGAAGAATTCAATGGCTTTTAAGACTTTTTAAGGATCTGTAGGAACTCTGTGTATGGACTGCACAGGGAAGTTTAAATTCAATGAAAAATAGCCTATCCATCCAACAGTTTTCTGCATGGTAGTGATGTAGTGGTTAATGAGCGGTTTTCAATTCAAAGACTCCAGTTCGCTCCGACTTTATTTAAATTCATGTTTGACTTAAAACCTAGACCAATGCCTATGCTGTAGTCTGTACCTATAATCTGTTACAGTCTATGTTTCAACTTTACCATGGAATCGCCAAGACGAGGATTGCATATCATAAAAACATTTACTAACTATATTCAACAATACAGAGTGATCATTGTGGTAAGAGCCTGTTTTTGAAAATGGATCGCATACATGCATAATACTGTAGCATTAATGGGTTGCTATAGCAATAACTATCCAGAGATGACTTCAGTTTAGCGGTAGCTTCCGTGCCCCGTACACCGCACGACTCCGGAAGGCTTCCTCTTTTATTGAACACACCCACTTTCTGTACAACCAGGAAAGGTCATTAATGGACATATCTTCCAGACTCATGGTGGGACAAAGAATACTTCAAATTATAACAGCAACTAATGATACAACAGA